CCCTATCAGCTAATTTGTCCCATGTGCAGCCAGTCCACAGTGGATAAAAACCATGTTACATAAAACACTAAAAACCATGCAATAGAAGCAGAATATAACCATGCAAATAAAACGACACTCATAAATAACCACCAAAAATCAGAATAAAAACAATATACAAGATAAATACAAATTTCCACTGTGTGACATGCCAACTTTTAAGTGTTGATCAACATCCATCTCTGAAGAACAACTTTAAATTGTTAACCCACTTCCTGTTCCCGGAAAAAGGCCTTTTTGTGTAATGTTGAAATCTAGGTTATATTTCAGTTTTGGGTAACCCTACCTTTTTTTCTTAACCTCTCGAATTTCAGCACTTACCTTTGTACCATTTCAAGAAATTCATCGGACAAGACCCGCTTGAATTTCAATTAAAAAAGTCGAAGCCTATACTGTGTCAAGCTGATAATCATAAGATACACCCTTTGACAAACTGCTGAGTAACACACTCACGTTAGCACTCTTGGAGGGGAAGCCAACATTTTCATAAATTGCTAATCATGCATAAAAAAATAAGCATGATGCTAAAATTCTTTGTTATTCTGTAATAATAAATGCACATTTTTAAAGCATAAATAATTATCTACGATGTATACCTGAGGTGATAATGAGGTACAAGTTACAGATATGATTTATTAAATGATAATTTATTTGTTTAGGGGTTCATATAAGTTTTTTTTTTTTTTTGCTAAGTTCTGCCTCCTGGTTGTTATTGTGTTTGCAAATGTTTATCTTTCTTGATCTTCTAATGATCATATTTCATAGTTTCTGTAGCTTTCCCTTTCTTTTTTCTTTATTTCTACATTCCAAAGTTCTCTTTACTTCATGTTGGAGCTTGTTACAGCTACATTTAGTATTTAAGCTTGGTTTTTACAGATGAGGAACATGCTTTTCATGCATATATATATACTGTAGCATTGATTTATGTTTTGTACATTTGATGTGGGATCGGAGCATTATACAAAATATGTGCAATTTATACACATTGTTTATACATCATTCGAAGGGATGTACACTGCAAGGTCCTTATGGTTTTAATGTATTTTAAATAAAAAATACAGCAAATTATTTTTCATGTAGCTTTTTTGAGTTTTTGTTTTTTTGGTTATTGCATCAGAAGCATTATCTGTCAGGTAGGGCTCTGTGGCAGGCATGATTAGGATCCAAAGGGTAAACTGAGCCAGCTTTATTTATCAGTTCTTCTCCTGGATACTTTAAATATTTCAGGGAGATGTTTTCTTATCAGAGTCTCTCTGAACATTACACAAACCACATCACAGTACCAAACGTGTTGCCTTTTTGAAGAACTCTGACCTTAAAAACTGACTGTATAAAAGAAGAAAAAGAGATTTCTGCCATGGTCCGGGTGAGTGCTGGGCCTTCCTACAGGGCCGGCATTTCCACCCCTGGGCGGAGCCACCACATCATGCTGACAGGCTACACCTGAGCGTAATTGGAATTGCCGGCTTCTTAAGACCAGCGCTCAGACTCACACCTTGCCAGATCATCTGCAAACCTTTGTCAGTCAGGGTTTCCACAGTTTTGTCAGTTCATAGTAGTTTCATGTGTTTTCTGACGTTTGTGCTTTCTCCACTCTCAGAGGACCTCTGGATAGTGATGGGCAGATGAAGCTTCATGAAGCACTGAAGCACTGAAGCTTTTCATCCAATTGGTTCATCCCAGCGCAAAGCTTCTTGAAGCTTCATTTGCTCTAGTAGGACACCTACTGGACGTAAAAATATTAGTTGGCATGAATTTGAAGAGTGTGGCCTTTTACACACAGCGTGTAAATGTCAACAACAAA